AGCAAAGGTGTTTTTTTTCCCTCCCATTTGTCTCAAACAGAGGCAAAACGAGGTTATTTCTGCCTGGTGACTCCCGCATGGGACTGTCACGGGGTGTGAACAGGCAGTGCCCAAACCTGGGTGAGAAGGACACAGCTCCCACTGCTGAGAAGGGAAAACTCAGCACATCCAGCACAGGCAGGGGCATGGGGACTATCAGGGCTGCAGCAGCTCAGTCCTCCTCAGATGAAGGACCAACAGCTCTCCCTGCCCTGGGCTGAGAACACGTGTTGGGAGCAACATGCGATAATGAGCGAGGCAGGGACTCTGGGCTGGGGTGAAGGAGTGCTTCATTGCAAAAAACCCCAGGCAGGTGCAAAGGAGTGCTCCTCATTGCCAAAAACCCCAGGCAGGTGCGAAGGAGTGCTCTTCATTGCCAAAAACCCGGCCTTTCTAAGCACTTAGCCAGTTATCATGGTTTGAAGGCACAACAAGCCCAAGTCAACCAACCACCAGACACCACGAAATGGACATGACATGGACATGTGGCAGTCATGCAGCACCTCTCTCACATCTCTCACATCTCTGTACCCCTATTCCAGCTGAGTCACTCCCCCATAGCTCCCTTCTCCTTAGCCTGAGTGACAGGCTGGGGCCATCTTGTGAGGCATTCCCTTTATAAAGCCTTGCAAGCAGTCCCTGTAAAAGGGCAGACACCAATGTGCTCCCCCAGTCCACTGCAGGTGTTTGTACTGGTCATACTGGCCCTTTGCAGGGGAAGTTCATCAGGAGCTGCAGTGGTAGGACAAGGAGTAATGGGTTCAAACTGAAAAGGGGAAAACGAAGGCTTGAAGCACTTATGAAATTCTTGGCTGTGAGAGTGGGGAGGCCCTGGCACAGGGTGCCCAGAGAAGCTGTGGCTGCCCCATCCCTGGAAGTGTCCCAGGCCAGGTGGAATGGGGCTTGGAGCAACCTGGGGTAGTGGAAGGTGTGCCTGCCCATGGCAGGGGGTGGAACTGGGTGATCTTTAAGGTCCCTTCCAACCCAAACCCTTCTGTGCTTCCATTCTTTTTTGGTTCTCTCCAGGAGCTCCTGAGCTGGAGCTCACGCTGTTCCTAAGAGCCGCGTGCGGAGGAGGGCTGGCTAATGGATTAGCAGGGGGTGTGATGATGCAGCCAGTTTTCTGGGGCTGAGGGTTATTTATTTTGCTTAATTTTTCTTTTTTTCTTTTTCCTTTTTTTTTTTTTTCAGATGGTGGCTGAGCCCGTATCTAGGACAGGGGTGTTTTTTTTTGGTTTGGGTGCCCTGTGGGCACCTTGTCGCTCGATGGTGTAAATTAGCGAGTTCACCCAGGCCAGGGGTTTGTACCAGACATCTTCAATCCTCCCCTAATAGCTGCCTCACCCAGAAACTTCCAAAGCCCTTGTAGCACCTAAGCACTAATGAGCTGAGGCTGCAGAATAGCAATGAGGCCTCAGGAATATGGATCAGCCTTTCCTGGCCCAGCCAGAGGCGCTGAAATCGTTTCAGCCGGCGCCCAGAGGGACCAGTGCAGCCCAGCTGGGAGAGAAGGGTTTAAATGAGGTGCATTGGGTGGAGGAGCCTTTGCTGCCCATGAGGAGCTGCTGAGGATGTCTCCCAGCTCTCCTCTCCAAACAGAAGTGTGGGTGGCTTGTGTTGAGGTGAGGAGAGCTCAAACTGTGATCGAACCACTGCTGTCCAGGTGTGTTGGTGCCCTGCCTTTTCCCCCTGATAATTGATCATCCCTGGTTGATCTATGTTTGTTTCTAAGTTTTGTTTTTACTGCTGCCTTGGACAAAGCATCTCCAAGCCCTTCCCGCCTGTCCCAGCAGCCTGGTTTGCACATCCAGCCCCAGAGTGTGTATTTATGGTGTGAGATGTTCCATCCGTCCGTGCACAGCTGCTTTGCTGCTCCATCCCCTGGGAATTCCACAGCACCAACACCAACTCCCCATCAACAGGGTGCTGGAAAACTGGGGTGATTTCTGCCGCAGCCCCAAACCAGGAGGAAAACTCCCCTCTTCCCCAGCAATGCCAACCTCCAGCCTTCCCTCTCAGCTTGAAACTCCCATTGATTTTTCCGAGCCGGGAATGCTGGTGGGGGAACGTGGGGGTGGGAGAAGGAAGCCTTAGCAGCACAAAGCCTGGAAATATCAAAGCTCGACGCCAGCTCCCCGGGGGTGACCGGGGAGGTCACCTGCCAGGCAGGGAGCCCCGGTGCCCCGGCGGGTTGCCGGGAGCCTTTCCAGCCCCTCTCCTGCTGCGTTAACCTTTCTGGAAATGCCAAGCCGAGCTGGAACAGCCTGTTTATTTCCAGACCCGGGCGCTGCAGGAACACAGGCAGGGGGCTGAGAGGAGCCTGGTGAGCCACGGTGGCTTTTGCGCCTGATTTACATCTCGGGGCAGCTCGGGTGGAGGAGGAGACAGAAACCTTGACGAGCCAAAGCTGCTGCCTTGATATCAGCTGTGTTTTCCTCAGTGTCATTCCCCGCTCAATTTCTCCGGGAGGGATACACTCTCCTCTGATTGAAGCTGCGATTTCATAAATAAACCCCGAGGTTTCAGGAAAAAAAAAAAAAAAAAAAAAAAAAAACCAAAAAAAAAACCTTTGCCTTG